TTCCTATAATGACAAAGGAATACCATTAATTCCTCTCTAATCTTCTTATCTGTGGTTGGTGAAATCTTTCAGTAACCTACAAACAGGAGGCAGCAGAGGGCGGGGAGGGGGATAATACAACCCGCAGTTTCATCATCATTCTGACCAGATAAAAATAAAAATCCTGTAGCCTACTTTCATGCATAGCAGGATTTTCCCTTGAGTTGCGCACTGTGGTGGAGGGAGGACGCAAATGATCCCACTGAGATAAGACAGATGCAAGCATATGTCTGGGCCACATATGCAAAGGTTGCACTTATGGCTCCTCGGCAGATATCTTTCACATTAGAGGATATAATTTCTAAACAAAGGCTTTAAACTGCTTTGCAAATATTAGGAAAAATATATAATAATATAGTCAGTGTTAGTATAAAAACTATAATGCACAACATGGGGTCAGCTCATAGAGGGTTTCAGATACAGGTAGAGTAAAAATGAAATATTAACAAAACTGCACCCTCCTTTGGAGATCCAGCATTGTGGTTTTGATCTTTTTTTTTAAAGACTATAGGATTCCCCGCATTATGGAAAAAACAAAAGCAATGCTTTATAATAAAATGTAATCCAGTTCAACCATAAAATACACTGTATTCTAAAAAGAAATATCATACAGTTAAATAACTTCCAATCTGAAACAAAAGGTGAACGTTATGACATTTTAAAAGAAACATTTTTTTCAGCTTTATTTTAATGGATAATAGTTTTTTTGTTATTTTGTTCATCCCTTCAATGTGATGTCCCTGCCAAAATGTAGTTGTAGAGGTTTAGGATTATGCTCTGTTTTAGCCCCTCACTGTTCATGTCACTTCATTACCTCCTGCTCACATCCACTAAAATATGGCTGGCCATTCTCCACTGACACTGGGTAGCTCCACAAGCAGCAGGGACACGCTGACAGTGCTGTAGCAGCTTCTCTCTCGTCATTATTACAGTTTTTTCAATAGCTAAAACTGAAGCCACTTTATCAGAACTCTTCACAGTCTGCATTACCAGCATGCATCTTGGCCAAACAGTTAATCTCACCTCCAAAAGTCAGTCAAACCATCTAACGTTATATTATTTTGGCCATGCCTTGATTCTGAGTTTTGGGTTTTGTATCTACTTTTTAGTTCTGTCATCTGTTGAGTTTAGTTAACTGTGTGTTAACTTATTGATCAGTTTGGTATCTGTTATTTAGTCTGACTTTTATTTATCTGGTATATCTTATTCTGTAATTGTCTGGTGCTCTGTCTAATCCTAGTTTCAGTCCTGCCTCTGTGTTCTCGTTTAGGTTTTGTCTGTTATGATTCCTGTGTTATAATTGGTCGGTGTTTGTCTGTTTACATGGGTTTCTGTTATTGTCTGGGGTTAGATTCTTGTCTGATATTTTGTAACATGTGTTCTGTCTGTTCCCCCAGTAATCTGCCTGCCTGCCTGTCTCTCTGTTTTCCCTGCTGTCTGCCTGCCTATCTCGTTAGCCTTGATCCCGGTCACCTGTGTTGCTCCCGCCCTGCTCATTAGTCCCTGGCGTATATATGTTTGGTTTTTCTGCTCAGTCCCTGTCCGGTTATTGTTGTATGATGTTTGTACTACCAGCTGCTGCATGTTTGAGGTTTCCTGTACCTGTGAGTTTTGTTCATGCCTGGTGTATTTTGGATTACTAAACCCTGGAACTAAATCACTGCGTGCAGTGTCATGCGTTTGGGCTCTCCCCTGCTTTGTGCACCCAGCGATCCTTCACAAGCCTCAAAATAAACTTGTTCAACCAAAACATTGGCAGAAAGCATCCATTGTCACTCATAACACACTGACCTACAAAACACTAACAACAGGAAGCATTACGTAAACTTGATGAACTTATCTTTAAAATGTGACTGATTTTTTCATGTACCAAAGTGACTGAGAACAACTGTGTACTGTTGTTCTCAGTCACTTTGGTACATTTCTTTGATCAGAATTGAAATTTTACTTGTTCAACCTCCATATAATCTAGTTACTTGTGCACATGATGGCAAATAGCCTGTATTTTTGCAGTAATATACAGCAGAATAGCAGAACGTTTACAAACATTTTATGTTACTACAAACTGCAAGCATATAAAGCAGGAAATGTGCTTACATTTTAGCATTGGTTCAGGGGGTTAGTACATCAATTACAGGTTGTGGTCACTGTGGCTCAGGAACCAGTTTTACTGTGCAAACAACTGAGAAAAACTGTACTGCACTGAAATTTCAGGACCTTTATTCACATTTACTGAAGTGATATAGAAAAAAAGGATACTGAAGCAAATTTCTGCATTTCTGATTCATTCTTTTTACATATACCATAGTACAGTCAATAAAGTGAAAATATGTTATTCTTACAGCTTTTCTCAGTCGCTTTGTTACATTTCTAGAATCATCCTTACAGTAACATTTGCAGAACTATTTGTATTGGTAAACTATGTCTAACGTTTGGATGACAATGATTAAAAATGCACAAGGCTGCACTTTTTCTGTACGGCCTAGATCGATTTCAACAGTACAGAGTTATACTGTAATTTGTTGACAGAGCACGTCATTGTGATGCAGAAAAAGCGAGACTATTTTATATATCAGTATTATACCTTGTGATCAACATGACATAAGCAATTGATAATGTAGGAAACAGCTATTTTTTCATCACTGTCTGACATGAAATCAGACACTTTTCCTGTTTTAGGTCCGTTAGGATTACCAAAATTATTTATATTTGCTAAATGCCAGAATAATGAGAGAAGGATTTTTTAAAACTATTTTTCATTACTTTCTTCAAAGTCAGAAGTTTGAATACACTATGATTACTATGCCAATTTTGGAAAGCCCGGATGATGATGTCATGTCTTTGGAAGCTTCTTATTGACAACATTTGAGTTTATTAGAGACACACCTGTGGATGTTTTTTAAGGCACACCTGAAACACACTGCTTCTTTGTGTAACATCATGGGAAAGTCAAAAGAAATCAGCCAAGATATCAGGAAGAGAATTGTGGACTTGCACAAGTCTAGTTCATCCTTGGGTGCAATATCCAGATGCCTGAAGGTGCCATGTTCATCTGTTCAAACAAATATAAGCAAGTATAAACACCATGGGAATGTCCAGCCATTATACCGCTCAGGAAGGAGACGGGTTCTGTGTCCCAGAGATGAATGTGCTTTGGTCCGAAATGTGCATATCAACCCAAGAACAAAAGCAAAAGACTTTGTGAAGATGCTGGCTGAAGCTGGTAAGAGTGTGTCATTATCCACAGTGAAATAAATACTGTACCGACATGGGCTAAAAGGCCACTCTGCCAGGAAGAAGCAATTACTCCAAAAGAAACATAAAAATAGCCAGATTACAGTCTGCAAATGCACACAGGGACAAAGACCTTAATTTCTGGAGACATGTCCTGTGGTCTGACGAAACTAAAATCAAACTTTTTGGCCATAATGACCCTCGTTACGGAGGAAAAAGGGGGAAGCTTGCAAGCCTGAGAACACCATCCCGACTGTGAAATACAGGGGTGGCAGCATCATGTTGTGGGGTTGTTTTGCTGCTGGAGGGACTGTTGCACTTCATCATCATGAGGAAAGAACATTATGTGGAAATACTGAAGCAACATCTCAAGACATCAGCCAGGAAGTGAAAGCTTGGGCGCAAATAGGTCTTCCAAATGGACAATGACCCGAAGCATACTGCCAAACTGGTTACAAAGTGGCTTAAGGATAACAGAGTCAATGTCTTGCAGTGGCTATCACAAAGCCCTGATCTCAATCCTACTGAAAATTTATGGGCAGAGCTGAAAAGGCATGTGCGAGCATGGCGGCCTACAAACGTGGCTCAGTTACATCAGTTCTGTCAGGAGAAATGGGCCAAAATTCCTGCCAACTATTGTGAGAAGCTTGTGGAAGGATATCCAAAACGTTTGACCCAAGTCATACAGTTTAAAGGCAATGGTACCAAATACTCATGAAATATATGTAAACTTCTGACTAACTAACTTAAATGTTGTCAATAAACCTATCAGAAGCTTCCAAAGACATGACATCATCATCCGGGCTTTCCAAAATTGGCATAGTAATCATAGTGTATTCAAACTTCTGACTTTGAAGAAAGTAATGAAATATAGTCAAAAAAAAATCCTTCTCTCATTATTTTGGCATTTAGCAAATATAAATTATTTTGGTAATCCTAACGGACATAAACCAGGAAAAGTGTCTGATTTCATGTCAGTGAGGGAAAAAAGCATATGTGTCTTTTTATATAGTGTATGTAAACTTCTGGTTTTAACTGTACATGTAAAAAATAGTGTAGTTGAAGAATAAGGTGCAGTCAAACATAAGTAGCAGCAGATTGCGAGAGGTGCTACACAATTCCACATTGATTATGTACAGGAAGTATTTCACATTTGTGAGTGTTTCACAAAATGTAAGTTCTTTGGAAGAAGTTAGCGCGGTATTCTCAGTATGGATATCATGGCTGCGAAGAGACCGAAGAAGACTTTGGAGGAAGCGAGGAATAGAAAAAGAGAGTGACCTAGCAAGAGACTGGACTAGAGTAAATGTCGCACTAGTGTGAGCTTAAAGAGCTTAAATGATGCAAGACAGATGCCAAGCTGGCCTTCTTGCTGTTGGACTTGTTAGTATTAACATACTTAGCTTGTTTTGTTGTATTTGCTTGATGTTTGGCTATGTTGGCGAAGTTGTCAAAATCAGCCAGAGGTTTATCTGCTAGCTATACATTTCGTTAGCAAACTTACTAGATAACACACTCACTCAGACATCGGTAACTTTACTGCAACTTCAAGTGCTCTTGAGTCGGAATGCATCCCAGCTTTGTTGGCTAGGTTGCCACCTGGGGCCCGTTCTTCGTACGTCGCTAACTCACTTAGCTGGATTTGATTGTTGGCGATTTGGCATGATCTTGGATTGTTTGGTTCTTCGACGCTCATCCTGGACTTGCTGTCATAGCAACAGGTGCGTAAGCTTGAACCTGCTCGCGAGCAGGCTTATTTCCTGTTAACAGGATTAGATCCCGGCTTTATAAGCGGAGGTGATACGGGAAGTCTTTCGCAGCCATGTCTTCGTTTTTACGAGAAGGACCTGTTGCTGAAGGTGGCAGAATAATTCGAAGAGCTTTTCGAATTAATCGCGTATTGCGAGATAGACAGGATCCTTTAGCGCAGCGCGATAATATACTTATTGAGAGAGATCGTTTTTCTCGTGAGGGTGTCATATACATCATTCGGCCACAAACTGTGTGCATTGCCCTGAGAGTCTTTGCGAGTACGTTCCTTTACGCTATTGGAGATGCGGAAAACTTGGGGGGAAAGTGCTGTCTGTCCTGCCAAAACTCAAGCAGTTTTTGGGGGGTTTTGTGGTATTTCCAAGCCACTTCAGACCACAGGTTGTGAAGCAGAATTTTTTTTGCCATTGCAGGTACATTACAATTGTTTATGAAGATCATGCAACCATGATCATGCCAAAAAGTAGGACTTAGTGTTTGTTCCTCAGGCTTCCCTAACGTGATTGGTGCCGTTGACGGCACGCACGTCCCCATCAAGGCCCCACCAGGCCCCAATGAAGGGGATTTTATGAACCAAAAGGGATTTCACAGTGTAAATGTGCAGGTAAATTACTATTATGATTCTCAATATTCCAGATTAGTAATATATCAAATTAAAAAAAATGTAATCAAAGTATGCAGTTGACTGATTAAAAATATCTTAGATGGTGTGTGACTCAATGTCATACATCACAAATGTGGAAGCAAAATGGCCTGGCATGACTCCAGGATTTTCAGAGAATCACATTTATGCACATTATTTGAATGTGGTAAGAAATTTTTATATCAAACTCACTGTATGACACATTTATTTTGAGCCTAACAAAACTGCATTTTTCCAGGTGCTTACGATGGGATCCTGCTTGGTGACCGGGGCTATGCCTGCAGGCAGTATTTTCTGACGCCATTTCCTGATCCAAACCCGTTACAATGCAGCTCTAGGCAGGACAAGGGCACACACTGAAATTACCTTTGGGGCAACTAAAGGAAAGATTTCAGTGTCTGAAGGGTTGCACCTGACCGGGTCTGTGACATTATTGTTGCATGTGCCAGTCTCCACAACATTGCCACCATCAGAAAGAAGAGGACACCTGTGGTGGAGGTACAGCCTGATGATGACCTCCAGCCAGTGCACTTGGACCAACCTAGTGGCAGAGCTGCACGGGACAGAATTGTGGACCACCTTTTTTTGGGTTTTTTTTTTTTTACAAACAAAAACATTCATTAAATGAATAGAAGACAAGACAACATGCTTAGTTCCTTGATTTTTATTTCAATTATTCTTTGTCAAGAAAAGCCAGTGATGGTCATCTTTTGCCTGCAATAAGATATATTGTTATCCAAGGTCAGCAATAATACTGTGTGAAATAGTGTATTAGCATTTACTCTGAAGTTCCTTTTGAAGCAACTCAATTTCTAGTGCCAGTTTTTTCTTCTTTAAAAAGGTGTCAAGTTCCATTTCTCCCCTTAATTTTAGTTTTTTCAGGTGAAAATACTCAATTTTCTGTTGTAGATTATGTTTATATAGGGTACAGATATCACCCTGTGCCATTTTTGGATAAAAAGAATTACAAAAAAAACCCCCACAAGCCTCATGCAACAGAAATAAAAAGGAAATATACTACACTGCCCACCTCTGTATCACTTTGTGCTGTAGGCCTGTCTGTAGGCCTGTCTGGCCTTTCCTCCTGCAACTCATATTGCAGTCAGAAATTATATGTACACAACTATAAATTAAGCTGTTATTTATGCACTTACAAGTACTTCCTCCAAAAGGACAGTCATCTGAGAGGGTTTCTTCACTGTCCTGTGCAAAAGAAACTAATGGGTATTACAAAATGTTGCACTCTTTCCTTTTGATGTAAAGTTAGAAAAAGTCCACTTGCACTGCACATGCTTCAGCCACCACTTGCTTGGGAACAGGTAAAAGTGTTGGTGTATTATGTAAAACTGCACAAAAGAGGAGAACACAATGGCATTACAATGAACTACACTAGGAAAAAATGTGATCAATAACATATTGCAATATATTTTTACATTAAGTTATGCAGTTTTCACCTTCACAAGTCAAAGCAATTCATCACTATGCAATATTTATCAGTTGAAATGACTGTACCAGCCATTTGGATTATAGGCATACTTAATTTAATGCAGCAACAAATTATTTACAGTGTAGCAAGATAATTTAAAACTCATTTACCAGTAATGAAGGTGTTGCAACTGGTCCCTGGCTTTTGGTCTAAGGAAGAGCTGCCCCCAGGGATGCCCTTCACAATGGGTCGGTTCACATTTAAACCAAGGGCCAGCTCTTCTGCCAAGGTATAATGTGGGGGTGCAGGACCACCACCTGTTTTTTTCTGCTCTGCCTTTTTCTTGGTTGCTGTTATAAACAGACAAACACATAATTTAACATTTATTTTGGTAAAAGAGACTAAACAGTAGAAGTAGAAAGTTGCTGATCAATGTTTCTACTATTGATACAAATCCCCTTTTAAACCAGTGCATGAACGCGCAATTATCTCCGATAACTCAATCTAGCTGTACTAATCATAACCGGCAGGTGTGTTCGAAGAACCCAATTAGCCAGATCATAATTAGGCCGATGATATTATCTTGGATGTCTCATTTCATCTCGGATGTTTTAAGCAACATACGAAGAACGGGCCCCTGGTCTTTTCTTGGTCACTCTCTTTCACATCTTAGCTTTCTCCATCAACATCTTGGTTCCTCTCGCCTCTGACATTAGTTAAATGTAGAGGCTGCTGAGCCCTGTTATGTTTGCCCGAATGACCGGCCCCGGCTCTGGCTCAACACCTCTCCACCTGTTGTGGCTGAGGCTAATAATCTCAAGTTGATGTTAGCGAAATCACTAGAAAACACACATCGGTAACATTACTGTAAGTGGTTTTGCGTCGGTTGCTGAGTCGAGTCGGAGCTGGGCAGCCTCAGTGGACGTAACATTAACGTTTTTGATAATGGAAAAAAAAAATGCGTGTGTACAGCTGTCCTTATTTACGACAGTGGTACACTGATACGGTGGGTATGCCAAATCACCCAGAAACCACATACATAATGTTGCTTTAATGTGTTAGTGGTCCATGTGTGTCCATGTCATATTTTGCACAATAAACATACAGAATATTATCCTGTATCATTTATGAGAATGAACGAAAAGTAAATTACTGGAAATTCTTAACAATTCAATTAAGTCTCAAACAGAATTATTTATTATTAAAATAATTAAGAATTAACATTAATTATGATAATAATTATTGTACAACAGGCTTAAAAGAACAGGCACGTTTAATGATACTGTACTAAATGAATGAAGAAATGAAAATTTGAACAGAAAAAACAAGAAACTTCAGAATCAATGACAAAATCAAAAACATGGACAGCATGACTCCACTCTAGTGGCATGGTACTTTTAATCTGGGATTAAAGTTGATTGAGGGCAGACATGAGCAGTGCCATCTTAAAGAATAAAGCACGTGGACCTTGGTTCTCTTGTACATGTGACCCCACAGCTGCTGGACATGTGGAAGTGACATCTCATCTGTGCCCTCTAGAGGTCACCATCTATCAAAATATGAGCCCTATACTGCATGAGCAGACACATTTATGAAACATACCTTGTGTTTATATCAGATTATCAAAATAGAAGCACTATTATAGATATGTTCCACACGTTCTGTGACTTCTGAATGACAAAGATTTTTCTCTAACATTACTGAAATTGTTTTGAGCTAAGTTTAAATCACAAAGACCATCATATCCATCTGTTATCTATACTCTGTTATGCCTTTGTAAGATTACCTGGGAAGTAAGGTTAAAGTTAAGTCTCTTCCAGCAGGCGTTGAACATAAAGGAGACCTCCCTAAATGAAACAAGAGGGGGATTCATTCCTGTTTGGTTCAATGTTCATGGTTACTCAACATTACAACAATGCATCAGGTTAATAGAATGAATGAAAGCCAAATCAGTTTTTTATTATGTAACAGTGTGATATAATTAGAAATATAAAAATTGAAATATTGGAAGATTTTGACAAAAGCCCTGGTATCGAGAAAAATTGTAGGTACAAAGATACAAATTGTGTCTTTTTTCAGGATGTACATGATTGTCATGTTACTATAGTAGAAACAGACAGGCCTACTTCTTGGATAAAAGTACTGTCTTGTCTGTGTTTAACTTATTTCTTGGATTTGCAGGACTTTTTTTTCCTTTCAAGAAATTACTGAACATCTTTTCTTAGACAGTAAAGATAACATGTGCTCATTTTGTGACTATAAAACATATTACAGCAGGTGTTACATGTTTTTTTAAGAACTATTTCAGTAGAGTTGTTGGGTAGTGAAGCATTCACAAGGAGGCTGGTTAAACGTTTACCTGCCTGGTTAATTAGTCAGTGTTAGGAAGGATGTAAAGAGGAATTACACAGAAACAGTTCATTGCACACAAGCGCGCTTTCACGCTCATGCATGCTAAATACTGTTACGGGATCAACAACTCAGCACAAGCCATCTGACATGGCACAGACACTCGGACTCCTGATCATGCTGCTTATTTTCTTGGAGAAATTGTTAATGACAAACTCAAAAGGTATTGTAATACTTGACTCCTATTATTCACAGATGAGAAATTCATTCAGAGCAAAGAAAAATTAAATTGACTGAAATACTTTAAAGAATTACAGCTGCGTATACTCTTTATGTGGTATGTAAGACAATGCTAAAATGCTAAACTGGTAAATTGCCTGAGTTGTGATTTGTTTTTTGCTAAATCAAAAGAATTATATGGCCAAAGATAAGAATATTATTATCATGCAAGGACATTTTTGTTCACAATTCTAGCAAATACACTTAGTCTCAGATTTTAGAGTTGGACAGTTTTTGTGTTTGTGAAGTCTGTTGACTACAGGCTTTTGAGAATTGCAAACCCAAAATACCACAGATGTGGCTGGAAAAGGTTTCAGAAAATTACATGTAATCATGACAACAAGGAAATGATGGTTGACAAAGACAAATTCTGAAACATAAAATTAAAACAATGTACATGCCTTAAAATATAACTGTCAGATATATTTTTATTTTCCTTCATCGCTCACTAATGGGAATCTAAATGCATAAAGAGAATGTACAGTATGTACCCTGATATTATTTTACAGGAAAACGACAAGAAACTAGGACAGGTGATCAGATGTAGCAGTACTTTAATTTTGATCAGTAATACCCAAAATTCACAAGTTGATAAATATGATTTAAAAAAAAAAATATATATATATATATACACACACACACACACACACACACACACACACACACACACACACACATATATATATATATATATATATATATATATACATATATATATATATATATATATATATATATATATATATATATATATATACAGAACAATTATAATATATAATTATAACAATTTGTTGCTTTTGTGTCTTGACAGTAGCTTTACTATCTCCAGATGCCAATGTCACCTGTATCATCCCTGACGACTGCATCTTGCCCTGCAGCTTCAGACCCACCGGCACTGTGGTGATCCACTGGTATAAGCAGCAAATCCCCGTTCACAGCTACTACTACAACAAGGATCAGTTTGGACTCCAGAACAAGCACTTCAGTGGAAGAACTTGCCTGTTCAACTCCCACATCCCTCACGGCAATGCCTCCCTGCTCCTCAGGAAGGTCAAAGTTCAAGACAAGGGCAGGTACAAATGTTACACGAGCACACGAAAGGGCAACCAGGAGATCTTTGTCAACCTGGAGGTGAAAGGTCTGTACAATTTGACAGAACTACAATTAACATTCAAGAAAGTGTGCCCATTTCACTACCTTTCAATGTCGTTTTTGGTTTTCTTCTTTGGTCCAAAAGTGATTAATTCAGCACTGATTAAGCTATGAGTGGTAAAGCGTCTCCATTATCATCCTCATTACCCTCAAGAACGTGACAACAAGGTGGAACATTTTGTGCTCTTTTTCCCCCTCACTACTGCCCGCAGACACGGTCTTGCTTACTAAACTATTAATGGTTAATTGTCATGTTGTCATATAGAGAAGTATTCTATATTAGGTACACTGATCTTAAACTAATGCAGCCTAACAAAACTGCAATACGTATAACTTTTATGAGGGTTATAATGTTACGTTTTTGTCAGAACCATTTTGGAAGGTGTTGATTTGACTTAATAGTGAGTCTAGAGGATCTGTGCTGCTGTTGAACTACACTGCAACTGAGTCGATATTTTTATTTTATATTTTTAATATTATGGAAATGTTCTGGCATGAGGAAGAGGACTAGAATCGCTACCAAATGAGCATTTATGCATCCAAGAAGATATTTATAGAAATGTTGTAGCCTATTTTAACAGCATTTTTTAACAAATCCTTACAGAATTACAGACTAATGCCAAGTACATCCACTTGAGAAGGGTGTATAATAGGTGGAGTTTGATTAGTGAGCTGGACACTGTGAGGTCCATGTACAGGAATGCCTCATGCAAAGTCCAAATGGTGTGTGCTAATTACAAGTGTTGGGATGCATTGTGCACTAGCTTGGGTCATATTAGCCATTTGCCCTACTAACCAACAGCACAGCCAGTGGACCAGGGCACTGAAGTTTAGTGGAAAAGTGCCATCTGCAGGAGATTGGTTTGAAAGAGCAGCTCTGTTAAAGGCCAGCATTGCTACAGAAATCAGCAGGCTGTAGCTTATAGCTCCTAGGGTTGCCTACTAATCAGAATATCAGTGGTTCGCTCCCCTGGCTCCTCCAGTCTGCATGTCCAAGTGTCCTTGGGCAAGATACTGAACCCCAAATTGCTTCCAATCTGTATGATTTCTGTTTCTGATGAGTCTCTGCCATCAATGGGTGAAGGTGATGTCATGTAAAAGTGATTTGAGTGCTATACAAGCATTGTGGCACCCTGTTCATTCGGTCATTTGGAGTCAGACTAGCAAAGTTGTTTATTTCTCACCAAATGTAATCGACCTCCCCCTCCAAATTCAATGCTCACACATTTGTCTTTTCTGCTATTCTTCTAGCTCTCATCCAGTCAGTGATCATAGAGATGACTGATGAGATGGTCACCTGCTCCTCTCACAACATCTACCCCGTCCCTCTGGTGACATGGGCCACAGACCCCACCTCTGCACAGGGAGCTCTACAAAATTCAACCTTCAAAACCACAGACCACAAGGGTCTGTTCACTGTGACGAGCACGCTGAGGATTCTGGGTAATCTCTTCAACTATACCTACTTCTGCGCTTTCACGTCGGCTGACAAGACCCAGGTGTGGACTGCCTCTTGGAAAAACCAAGGTGCGTGTTGGTTACATAAACGTATAGTTTTCATAAAGAGCCTGATTTCAGACAAATAAAAGCAAAAAGGTCTATCTTTCAGAGGGCGTAACACAGGAGGAGGGTGACGCACTCTCCATCCCATGCATCGCCCCACAGAGTCTTCAGAATTTCTCTCTCACCTGGACCTTCAGCTCGTCCAGTGAGCCCACAGTTATCTTGAGATATGACACAAAGACCAGAAACACGTTTAACCTGTGGGAGGGTCTTGCTGAACTGGACCAGGACCTGCTTCTTCGGGGAGACGGATCTCTGCTGCTTCACAAGACAGACACAGAGGAACACTCCGGGACCTATACTTGCACTTTTTTAGGCCTGCAGAGCAAACACATTGTTCGTACCAAAGTAAATATCACTGTTTCATCAATAAGTGAGTATTAGATTGTTCTGTTTCTGGGGAGATGTCGATACAGGAAGGAAAATAGAAACAATTCACTAAAAGAAATGTGGCATGTTTGCTCTGCAGGTGTGGATGAGCAGGGTGTCCAGAGGTCATGGTGGAGCACGGCAGCTTCTGCAGCTTTTTTCTTGTTCACCGTCATTGTAGCTCTCCCTCAATGTGTAAGGAAAAGAGGTACGTAAGATATTCAGTCTGTAAGCCTTTGTGATTAACAGTGAGCAGAACAAGCATGATTGTAGCTGTGAGACATAACTTAATGGCTCAAAGCTCTGAGCTGCACTAAAATCATTAAGCATTTTTAAAGGTTGTGAAGTAGGTAAAACTGCATCTGGATCCAGATCTGTATCAACATACACAGTTTCAGTCATGCTGATGTGTAGCTGAATTCATCGATTGGAAAAATAACATCTCATTTTCAGGACAGGTTGTAATTTGAGTTTGTTTGTAGCTGCAGAATCACAATGTGTTGAAAAGGGCCATGCTTAAAATAATTTGTTGTAGTGAAAATTAAAGAAAAGTAGGAATAAAATAAGTTTTACACCCCAAAGTGCAGTTATGAGAGAAGTGCTTTATAAATGGCCACATGGTGGCACTGTCTGCAGTGTTCTAAGCTGATGGTAAAACTTAAATAGCCTAATTTTAATGAAAACCAAAGCACTGAGGAATTATGTTAATTAACAGAAAAACAAATGGAGCCCTAAATGGCTTAACTGGTGGAAGCAATGACAATGCAAACTCAACAGCACTGTTTCTACTGATGAATAACTCATTTTGATTTTCTGTTCCTGGTACAGCAATGGAGACCAGGACTGTTTCACACAGACATAATGGAGCAGGTTTTGTTGGAGGTGGGCTTCACAAAGATCTTAACATCACAGCTTCATATATAATTGGACAACATGAAGTTGAATGCGACAGACTACAGTTTGAAGCACAGGATGAACTGGCAGGCACAATGCCAAACACAGCAGAGGACTGTACCCTGACTTTACCACCAGGTGCTAAAATAGAACAAGAAAAACCAGTAGGGCCACCTGTGGAAGCAAATGATGGGCTGCAATCCAGTAGTCTGGAGAGGGATGGATTTGGAAATATTGAGCCTAGACTTCTTATACTATGTTCTTCAAGTGATTAAATCATCTAGCCATACATGAGCAACACACAGTGAAGGATAATGCACAGAAACTTCAACAAAGAGATCCAGATCAAACTGATTCTGTAACAATCCTAATCATCTGTATACTGTACCTGTATTGTATGCTGTGAAAATCTATTATTAACCTTGAGTGTGGGCCTGTTTTTCTGCCTTTAAAATAAAATAAAAAGTATAGCAACATTTTCTGTAGTGTGCTCCCATTTGCCAGTTTGGTACTTGGTAAGTCCAGACATTGGAGCGCCTCAATGGAATGCGGCCATCATTAATGTTATTACTTACACCTGTGTAGACATGGCAGTATGAAGAAAGGTCTGTTATCATGTTAAAATTTGCAGCATTAATGGTATCACAAGGGGTGTTAGAATATTTTGGATCTAATGTAGGAGTTATTGCTTGTGTGTTTGACTTCTGTGTAGCTGTCATTGTTTGTTGTTCATTGTAATTTCTGTTTTGGGTTAGGGTTTGTACAGCACCTTGTAACTCTGCTTTATAAGGTCATTTATAAATAAAGTTTACCTTCTTACTATTAATATGTTTTGAGTATCTGATTTATTATAGATATTTTCAATGTAAGAAATAATATTTTTGCTAGATATCAGTTGTTGTGTTCATGTTGTTTTGTTTTGTAAGAATAGAGTCAGTTTTATATACTGTAGGTATGCAGATTTAAGACCAGCATAGGAGGGTCTATGGTTATTTACCAGAGCAACAGTGGCAGCGTGAGCCATGATTTTTCTGTGTTTGCTTGCTTGCCAAGAATAAAGAACCCACAAAACCACAAAATGTCTGTGTGGACGGTGGATTCAGTTTTGATTTTGGTTATGGACAAATTGCTGCTACAGATAGGGACATGATTAAATTGCCTATACAAACATGACACTGCCCAAACATGTCCAGACAACCACCTACATTACACCACAGCCATATAATTATAGGCTCAGTGGCATAACAAAGACACAAACATCTTGTTTTGTATTGTGAGTGCACCTTTTTCAAATTAAACTGAATTTGGTCATCTAGATAAACCCTGAAAAAAATGTAGATGGACTGTGGGGTGATTCCATAAAATGCCTTAGGGACAGGTTTATTTTTTCATTAGTGGTCACAGGAACTCTTCTCAGTAAATACACATCTGTCAATTGAAGCAGTTCAGGTGTGTGAAGTTTGAGATGTGGGTTAAGCTTTGTGCCACTGGGCCAAAGTACCCAAGCGCAGAGCTGCTTTTCCACCCAAGCTATAAGACTCTTAAACTCAAATTCATCCTCAGCACTTCTCCATTGATCATTGAATATTGTTTACCATTTTTATAATTGCTTCTTTGTTAACGTATATTGTCTGCTATGTAGCAGAAGGGAGTTACAAAGCTGAATTTCATTATATAACCTGTTATATTGTAACAATATATGTACTTACCTACCTACCATGTTCTTCTTTCTTGAAAGGAAAGTCTGTATAATTGGACAGAACACAGTGAAAGATGAGCCGACAATGCCGAAGTCCATTTTGAAGAAAACAAACATAACTTTTCGACGTTTAACACTAAAAATTACCAGTTGAAATTGGCTTCTTGTGATTGGGTGAGACACTTGAGACTTCTCACGCTGTGACTCAGACCTCCCAACAATTACCAGAGTTGATCATACACCCACTCCCACAATCTGACACCAATCTTTCTTCCATCGTTCTCCCCTCTTCCCTACTTTTTCCACGGCCTTCACTCAGACTCACTATAATCACGCTACAAGTGGTTTCAATCTATAGTTTAAAAAAAATCCAGACACACAAAGCAGTTTGCAGCAAATTCTGTGTGTGTGGTTACTTTATAATTGTACCTTTTTTTTAACCTTCTTTGGCCTGGAAGTAGAATAACATTCCAGCGCTCTATGACGAATACATCTTTGTGTTGGCAATAAATATAAACGTCCCAGATTTCAAATGAGACTCTCCTATGTGTCATTATACTTTTCTGAAATTCTAAAGAAGGAAAGAGAGCGAGAGAGAGAGAGAGAGAGAGAGAGTGAGAGTGTGTGTGTGTGTGTGTATGTGTGCGAGTGTGCTTGCTATGCTCGCGCTCTCATTTGTGTGTTTTATGACAAAGACCCCAACTCTGTGTCTGGAAGTAATCATCTCGTCCAGGCTGCACTCCACAGCCCCCTCCCTATGATGTAATTGGAGTTTTTCGCATGAAGGTTCAAGATTTTCAGTGGGATTCTGGGGAATTTTCCAAGGTAACTTTTCATTTATTCTACTGTCTCTTAACTTGCTACTTTATCTCTACATTTTATTCTCTTGCGTGGCCACTTAACTATTTGGTTCGACTAGCTTTTATAATTAATCTATTAGATCAAAAAGTGATCAGAGTACTAGATATTTTCCGTGTTGCAGTATGGGTAATGTCTCTGACCGTAAGGTTTTTACTCTTTGCCTGCACAGTTAAGAGGGGGAGTGAGGTTGGCTCTGTTTCAAACACAGCGATGGGGCCTCCTCCCGCCTCCACATACTGCTGAAACAACAATCCAAGAGTCAACTTTTTTTTTACAAATTTGAGCACTAATGCCTACTCTAGTTTTTTTCTCCCATAGAAAACACACATTGTGGGGAGACTTCTCTGTGTGCAAACTGTGAAGAGTTAAGTTGTGTCTAAACAAACGGGCCAGACAGCAGGAAGACAGCTGCCATTGTACAGTAAATAAAATGTAATAGGCAGACCGTGAAGTCTATGAAGGAGATTAAACACATGTCTTCACGTGACAGGTACAGATTTGCAGTGACTCACTCAAACCCACTGTGTCCATACTGGAATATAATGATAACATGATACTGGAGTTTATTGATCCTTGCGAGGTCAGAGGTCAGAATCAGCTGCAGAGGGAGAAAAACAATCTCTGGAGCCAGAAGGGATTAAACATGCTTATTTCTTTTAAAACGCATATAATTAAGTGTAATAGTGTGATAATGCTTCCTTTATTCCTTCCTTCTTGCCTTTTTGCTTTTCTACATGAGAGCTGTTCCATATCTCACCAGAGAGGGGCAGCAACCACATCTGCTGCTGAAAAGTAAACCCCCCCACCCTCCACCCCCTCTCCCTTACTCCTGGGGAGGAGAGTCTGAGCAGAGAGTTGAGGTGGGAGGGGAGAGGGGCTCCCGTCTGATCCTTTGTCATGGGAAGACTTTTACTGTGCTGTTACATACAGAGACAGAGAGGACTTCAGCTTCAGCAGTAACAGAAACAATCAGGCGCAAGTATGTGAATGGGACAGACAAAAAAGGTCAGTAACTTTTCTTTAACGCAAAAGATTCAGTCAAACTCCCAAATGTCCTGGTT